AAAGCGGCCCCCAATGCACAAAAAGCGCCCCCCAATGCACAAAAAGCGCCCCCCCAATGCACAAAAAGCGCCCCCCAATGCACAAAAGCGGCCCCCAGTGCACAAAAAGCGCCCCCCAATGCACAAAAAGCGCCCCCCCCAATGCACAAAAAGCGCCCCCCAATGCACAAAAAGCGCCCCCCAATGCACAAAAAGCGCCCCCCAATGCACAAAAAGCGCCCCCCCAATGCACAAAAAGCGCCCCCCAATGCACAAAAAGCGCCCCCCAATGCACAAAAAGCGGCCCCCAGTGCACAAAAAGCGCCCCCCTCTGCACAAAAAGCGCCCCCCCAATGCACAAAAAGCGCCCCCCAATGCACAAAAAGCGCCCCCCAATGCACAAAAGCGCCCCCCAATGCACAAAAAGCGCCCCCCAATGCACAAAAAGCGGCCCCCAATGCACAAAAAGCGCCCCCCCAATGCACAAAAAGCGCCCCCCAATGCACAAAAAGCGCCCCCCAATGCACAAAAAGCGCCCCCCAATGCACAAAAAGCGCCCCCCAATGCACAAAAAGCGCCCCCCAATGCACAAAAAGCGCCCCCCCAATGCACAAAAAGCGCCCCCCCAATGCACAAAAAGCGCCCCCCAATGCACAAAAAGCGCCCCCCAATGCACAAAAAGCGCCCCCCCCAATGCACAAAAAGCGCCCCCCAATGCACAAAAAGCGCCCCCCAATGCACAAAAAGCGCCCCCCCAGTGCACAAAAAGCGCCCCCCAATGCACAAAAAGCGCCCCCCAATGCACAAAAAGCGCCCCCCAATGCACAAAAAGCGCCCCCCAATGCACAAAAAGCGCCCCCCCAATGCACAAAAAGCGCCCCCCAATGCACAAAAAGCGCCCCCCAATGCACAAAAAGCGCCCCCCCAATGCACAAAAAGCGCCCCCCAGTGCACAAAAAGCGGCCCCCCAGTGCACAAAAAGCGCCCCCCTCTGCACAAAAAGCGCCCCCCAATGCACAAAAAGCGCCCCCCAATGCACAAAAAGCGCCCCCCAATGCACAAAAAGCGCCCCCCCAATGCACAAAAAGCGCCCCCCCAATGCACAAAAAGCGCCCCCCAATGCACAAAAAGCGCCCCCCAATGCACAAAAAGCGCCCCCCAATGCACAAAAAGCGCCCCCCAATGCACAAAAAGCGCCCCCCAATGCACAAAAAGCGCCCCCCCAATGCACAAAAAGCGCCCCCCAATGCACAAAAAGCGCCCCCCAATGCACAAAAAGCGCCCCCCAATGCACAAAAAGCGCCCCCCAATGCACAAAAAGCGCCCCCCAATGCACAAAAAGCGCCCCCCAATGCACAAAAAGCGCCCCCAATGCACAAAAAGCGCCCCCCAGTGCACAAAAAGCGCCCCCCCAATGCACAAAAAGCGCCCCCCAATGCACAAAAAGCGCCCCCCAATGCACAAAAAGCGCCCCCCCAATGCACAAAAAGCGCCCCCCAATGCACAAAAAGCGCCCCCCAATGCACAAAAAGCGCCCCCCAATGCACAAAAAGCGCCCCCCCAATGCACAAAAAGCGCCCCCCAATGCACAAAAAGCGCCCCCCAATGCACAAAAAGCGGCCCCCAGTGCACAAAAAGCGCCCCCCAATGCACAAAAAGCGCCCCCCAATGCACAAAAAGCGCCCCCCAATGCACAAAAAGCGCCCCCCCAATGCACAAAAAGCGCCCCCCAATGCACAAAAAGCGCCCCCAATGCACAAAAAGCGCCCCCCAATGCACAAAAAGCGCCCCCCAATGCACAAAAAGCGCCCCCCAATGCACAAAAAGCGGCCCCCAGTGCACAAAAAGCGCCCCCCTCTGCACAAAAAGCGCCCCCCAATGCACAAAAGCGCCCCCCAATGCACAAAAAGCGCCCCCAATGCACAAAAAGCGCCCCCCAATGCACAAAAAGCGCCCCCCAATGCACAAAAAGCGCCCCCCAATGCACAAAAAGCGCCCCCCAATGCACAAAAAGCGCCCCCCAATGCACAAAAAGCGCCCCCCAATGCACAAAAAGCGCCCCCCAATGCACAAAAAGCGCCCCCCAATGCACAAAAAGCGGCCCCCAGTGCACAAAAAGCGCCCCCCAATGCACAAAAAGCGCCCCCCAATGCACAAAAAGCGCCCCCCAATGCACAAAAAGCGCCCCCCAATGCACAAAAAGCGCCCCCCAATGCACAAAAAGCGCCCCCCAATGCACAAAAAGCGCCCCCCAATGCACAAAAAGCGCCCCCCAATGCACAAAAAGCGCCCCCCAAGTGCACAAAAAAGCGCCCCCCAGTGCACAAAAAGCGCCCCCCAATGCACAAAAAGCGCCCCCCAATGCACAAAAAGCGCCCCCCAATGCACAAAAAGCGCCCCCCAATGCACAAAAAGCGCCCCCCAATGCACAAAAAGCGCCCCCCAATGCACAAAAAGCGCCCCCCAATGCACAAAAAGCGCCCCCCAATGCACAAAAAGCGGCCCCCAGTGCACAAAAAAGCGCCCCCCAATGCACAAAAAGCGCCCCCCAATGCACAAAAAGCGGCCCCCAGTGCACAAAAAGCGCCCCCCCAATGCACAAAAAGCGCCCCCCCAATGCACAAAAAGCGCCCCCCCAATGCACAAAAAGCGCCCCCCAATGCACAAAAAGCGCCCCCCAATGCACAAAAAGCGCCCCCCAATGCACAAAAAGCGCCCCCCAATGCACAAAAAGCGCCCCCCAATGCACAAAAAGCGCCCCCCAATGCACAAAAAGCGCCCCCCAATGCACAAAAAGCGCCCCCCAGTGCACAAAAAGCGCCCCCCAATGCACAAAAAGCGCCCCCCAATGCACAAAAAGCGCCCCCCAATGCACAAAAAGCGGCCCCCAGTGCACAAAAAGCGCCCCCCAATGCACAAAAAGCGCCCCCCAGTGCACAAAAAGCGGCCCCCAGTGCACAAAAAGCGCCCCCCAATGCACAAAATGCGCCCCCCAATGCACAAAAAGCGCCCCCCAATGCACAAAAAGCGCCCCCCCAATGCACAAAAAGCGCCCCCCAATGCACAAAAAGCGCCCCCCCAGTGCACAAAAAGCGCCCCCCAATGCACAAAAAGCGCCCCCCAGTGCACAAAAAGCGCCCCCCAATGCACAAAAAGCGGCCCCCCAGTGCACAAAAAGCGCCCCCCAATGCACAAAAAGCGCCCCCCAATGCACAAAAAGCGCCCCCCAATGCACAAAAAGCGCCCCCCAATGCACAAAAGCGCCCCCCAATGCACAAAAAGCGCCCCCCCAATGCACAAAAGCGCCCCCCAATGCACAAAAAGCGGCCCCCAGTGCACAAAAAGCGCCCCCCAATGCACAAAAAGCGCCCCCCAATGCACAAAAAGCGCCCCCCAATGCACAAAAAGCGGCCCCCAGTGCACAAAAAGCGCCCCCCAATGCACAAAAAGCGCCCCCCAGTGCACAAAAAGCGGCCCCCAGTGCACAAAAAGCGCCCCCCAATGCACAAAATGCGCCCCCCAATGCACAAAAAGCGCCCCCCAATGCACAAAAAGCGCCCCCCAATGCACAAAAAGCGCCCCCCAATGCACAAAAAGCGCCCCCCAGTGCACAAAAAGCGCCCCCCAATGCACAAAAAGCGCCCCCCAATGCACAAAAAGCGCCCCCCAATGCACAAAAAGCGCCCCCCAATGCACAAAAAGCGCCCCCCAATGCACAAAAAGCGCCCCCCCAATGCACAAAAAGCGCCCCCCAATGCACAAAAAGCGGCCCCCAGTGCACAAAAGCGCCCCCCAATGCACAAAAAGCGCCCCCCAATGCACAAAAAGCGCCCCCCAATGCACAAAAAGCGCCCCCCAATGCACAAAAAGCGCCCCCCAATGCACAAAAAGCGCCCCCCAATGCACAAAAAGCGCCCCCCAATGCACAAAAAGCGCCCCCCAATGCACAAAAAGCGGCCCCCAGTGCACAAAAAGCGCCCCCCAATGCACAAAAAGCGCCCCCCAATGCACAAAAAGCGCCCCCCAATGCACAAAAAGCGCCCCCCAATGCACAAAAAGCGCCCCCCAATGCACAAAAAGCGCCCCCCAGTGCACAAAAAGCGCCCCCCAATGCACAAAAAGCGGCCCCCAGTGCACAAAAAGCGCCCCTCACTGCACAAAAAGCGCCCCCCAATGCACAAAAAGCGCCCCCCCAATGCACAAAAAGCGCCCCCCAATGCACAAAAAGCGCCCCCCAATGCACAAAAAGCGCCCCCCAATGCACAAAAAGCGGCCCCCAGTGCACAAAAAGCGCCCCCCAATGCACAAAAAGCGCCCCCCAATGCACAAAAAGCGCCCCCCAATGCACAAAAAGCGCCCCCCAATGCACAAAAAGCGCCCCCCAATGCACAAAAAGCGCCCCCCAATGCACAAAAAGCGCCCCCCAGTGCACAAAAAGCGCCCCCCAATGCACAAAAAGCGCCCCCCAATGCACAAAAAGCGCCCCCCAATGCACAAAAAGCGCCCCCCCAATGCACAAAAAGCGCCCCCCAATGCACAAAAAGCGCCCCCCAATGCACAAAAAGCGCCCCCCAATGCACAAAAAGCGCCCCCCAATGCACAAAAAGCGGCCCCCAGTGCACAAAAAGCGCCCCCCAATGCACAAAAAGCGCCCCCCAATGCACAAAAAGCGCCCCCCAATGCACAAAAAGCGCCCCCCAGTGCACAAAAGCGCCCCCCAATGCACAAAAAGCGCCCCCCAATGCACAAAAAGCGCCCCCCAGTGCACAAAAAACGCCCCTTAATGCACAAAAAGCGCCCCCAGTGCACAAAAAGCGCCCCCCAATGCACAAAAAGCGCCCCCCTCTGCACAAAAAGCGCCCCCCAATGCACAAAAAGCGCCCCCCCAATGCACAAAAAGCGCCCCTCAATGCACAAAAAGCGCCCCCAATGCACAAAAAGCGCCCCCCAATGCACAAAAAGCGCCCCCCAGTGCACAAAAAGCGCCCCCCAATGCACAACACGCGCCTCCCAATGCACAACTAAGTGGTCCCATCCCTACTCTGCAACAAGTACTGACCAAGCGAGTCTGCTTGTGAAACGATGGCCTGGAGAGCCAATTGCAGGCGGACAAGTGGCACGACATAGAAGAAGAGAGGCTTGCTGGGAGGCGCCACTGTGAGTGGAATGTCGTACTGGTGGGGGGGTGGGAAGGAGAGAGGGGGTTGGGAAGGGGAGAGGGGGGGTGGGAAGGGGAGAGGGGGTTGGGAAGGGGAGAGGGGGTTGGGAAGGGGAGAGGGGGGGTGGGAAGGGGAGAGGGGGGGTGGGAAGGGGAGAGGGGGTGTGGGAAGGGGCGGGGGGGGTGGGAAGGGGAGGGGGGGGTGGGAAGGGGAGAGGGGGGGTGGGAAGGGGAGAGGGGGGGTGGGAAGGGGAGAGGGGGGGTGGGAAGGGGAGAGGGGGTTGGGAAGGGGAGAGGGGGTTGGGAAGGGGAGAGGGGGGGTGGGAAGGGGAGAGGGGGGGTGGGAAGGGGAGAGGGGGTGTGGGAAGGGGCGGGGGGGGTGGGAAGGGGAGGGGGGGGTGGGAAGGGGAGGGGGGGGTGGGAAGGGGAGAGGGGGGTGGGAAGGGGAGAGGGGGGTGGGAAGGGGAGAGGGGGGGTGGGAAGGGGAGAGGGGGGGTGGGAAGGGGAGAGGGGGGGTGGGAAGGGGAGAGGGGGGTGGGAAGGGGAGAGGGGGGGTGGGAAGGGGAGAGGGGGTTGGGAAGGGGAGAGGGGGTTGGGAAGGGGAGAGGGGGTTGGGAAGGGGAGAGGGGGTTGGGAAGGGGAGGGGGGGGTGGGAAGGGGAGGGGGAGGGGGAGAGGGAGGAGGGGTGAGAAGGGGAGGGGGAAGGGGAGAGGGAGGGGGAGGGCCAGAGAGACAAGTGGTTTGTGAGTATCTCCAACGACCACCTACAAGAACAGCGGCTTGCTGGGAGGGGCCACTCTGAGTGAATTGTTGTACTGGGGGGTAGGGTAGGGAGTGGGGGTGGGAATGAGGGCGGAGTGGGGGTGGGGGTGGGGTGGGGTTGGGAGTGGGAGAATAAAAGATTCTAGGGTATTTCTGAGAAGTCTCATCTCAAATGTTGTACTAGGGGGGAGGGGGGAAGGAGTCGGGAAGATCAGGGATAGGAAAAAAGTTGGGAGTCAATTCAAGGAGCATCTGAAAGGTACACTGACCGGAATGTGGCTCGGGATGTGGCACGGAATGTGGCTCCGAAGTGGGGTGGGGGAGGGGGAGTGGAAGACCAGGAGCAGAAAGGGAAGTGTACAGGAGAGGGGATTAGAAATGCAAGAGAGTTCTCACATCTGGAGAGAACAGGTTCATAAGTGAGTACAAGGGACGAGATAGATTGTGCCGTACCAGCGCGACGGGAAGTGCCAGCACAGCGAGGCCAGCACCAATGAGCAGCCGCCGCGTGACAATGCCGTCTCTCTCCTTGCCGTCAATCTCGCCGTCCCCCTCGCCGGCCTGCGCGCTCAGCAGCTCTGTCTCCGTGAATCCCCACGACCGCGCTGCTGCTCCCTTCTTGTTCCCTGCGCGCATGAGCGGCGCACATAACGACAAGCACAACGAAGGGCGAGAGGGCGTCAGGCGCCGGGGAGGGTGAGCGAGACGGACGCGCGACGGAAAGCATGGAGGAGATATAAGAGATTGTATATCAAGAGAGGAAGAAATGGTGTGTGTGGTAAGGGGGAAATGAGAGGGGGAGAACGGGAGAGAGGGGGAGAAAAGGGAGAGGGGGGCTCGTGACTGGAGAAGGCAAGTACCAGTGACGACGGGTCCTTGAAAGATGGTTTCGCGCGCGCCGGTGCCGTCGATGTACACGTCGCTGTTGGGCTTCATGCGGATCAGATTGTCCGCCTTCTCCAGCCGCCGCTGCTCCAACTCCAGCCGCAGCGCCGCTGCCTCCGCCTCCGCCCGCTAGCCTCGCTGCCAGCTCTTCCTTCTCCGTATCCGTCTGTTGCTGCTGCTCCGGTTTTTCTGGCGTGACTGACGCCTGAAACGACGGAAACAGCAGAAGGGGGATGCCAATGTCACTCGCAACGGGTGGGGCTGGGATCGATGAAATCAACGTGCTTCCTGTCGTTGCACTTGTTATTTGGTACACATGGTAAGTCATTAACAGGCATGCTCATTTGTGCTGATGAATATGTCACGGTACCCATCTTTCTGCCTGCTGCTACATTCTCCTCATTTAGACTACTTCCAACTTTTTAATGTCGTCTTCTCATACCTCATACTCTCCGACTAGGTTTTCCTATGCTTGTTCATGCTCTTACCTCATCGTTCGGCCCTGCTCGCACTGCCAGCTGACGACATTTGAAAGCCGAACGCTCAACAACGGCAGGTGGTCTGGCGACGAATCTAGAAAAGCTGTCGCAATTCCATCGAGAAATGCGTTTGCTCCTGCATCCCTGACTAGCCACTGGTGCAATCTGCAAACGAGCGGGAGAGACGAGCCCGATCATTGTTGCAAAAGCCCAGCAGATCAGACCTAGTTTTCCCGTATCAGAGGAACTTCACTGACACGGTTTCATTGAACAAATATTAGGAATTTGCACAATGCAGGAATTTCACTCTAATAAATTGATGCTAGGCACTGCGTTTGCACAGGTGGGGGAACCTGAAGGTTGATGTGCGTGAAACTGGCCTGGAGAATGCTGAAGGTGTTTGTGGGGAAGGGGAGTCGACGTGGCTCGCTAATAGCCCCTCCCGAGCCACGTGTACCGAAAGCTGGGTCAAGGCTGATGTGGCGAGGATGTTCAGCAAAGGCATTGTCTTCGATACAAGCGGAATGCTTGAGGTTTTCAGAATGCTGGATGCTGAGTACATCCGTGAATGTCAACGTACAAACAGAAATGGGGTTAGGTAAAATAGATTTTGCATACAATTCTCGATTTCCTCATTCAAGAAATCGAAATTTCAAATGCCCGAGCTTGGCGCGAAAGCCTCCCATTGGGGCGTGATGTTTCTACTGGTCGCCCTTTTGAGCATGCCAGCCACACAGAAAGCTTCTCTCCTGTTTGAACAGCGTCAGGCGGGACGGACGCACCTACGCGTCATTCCAAGACATGGCTGCGCCATGGCATGTCGAATCAAAGCAGGCGTGGGTGGGGGATTCCGTGCGGTGCTTGCGCGTAGATTTTATTCCGTGGCGGGTGGATGGATGGATGGTCAACCGGAGCGGGGAGGGAGGGAGGAAATGGATGTTGCTGCGGTAAATGGAGTGTTACGATTGGCTGCCTTGATGCCTCGCTGGTCGCAAGGGTCATCGAGTCATCGAGTCTAGTGGATGAAAGTGAAGTCACTTTCTCGCCGGTTGGTTGGTGGCATGGCAGCATGGTCGTTTCTCCAGCCTGTTCGCCGAAATTGAGGAACCACGGGAGGCCCCAGACTGAAACAACAAAGCGGCAGTCGCAAACGTCGCAGACGTCGCCTGAGTTACATTATCAGCAGCAAACGCACTCTTGCTGGAGTCGCCAGGAGTTCTGTGCTAGATTTCGCTAACCTATGGGAGACGTACAGACTGAACACCACACCAACAGCAGCTTTGGCGTTGCCACAGCAGCGGCGACTGACAGCGGCCGTGACATGTGAGAGTTCGTGTTCGCCTGAAACCCAGGGAAATCGTTTACAAAGTGAACCGAATGAAAACGCAGAACATCTTGTGACACGCTCATGGTCGTCGTGAACAGTTCGAAGCTACAAGGATTTCCGCACCTTGCCTCACCGTGCCTTCGTCAACCGCGCTGCCTGTAACGATTCGTCCGAGTCTCCTCCGCTTCCTCTTTACCTTCCAAGCAATCCGCCATTCCCCTTCCCCGCAAGAAACGGGTTGCGGGAAGCGTCCGCTTCAAGGCAGCTCACCTGCCGCCATGCCACTCCCCGCATGGCATCACTCCGCTGGTTAGCTCTCTTCTTGAATGGCGGACCAACCTGACGTTCGCAGTTTCAGCCATTAATTCTTTCAGCTAGGGTTGTTTGGACATATGGGAAGCGAGACTCACGAGGCTCACAGAAGCCCCGCAGCTTCTTTAAACTCCTTGCTGGGGCTTTCTTGTTCTCACAGCCATCCTGCTGCTAATTCGGCTGAAGCTAATTTCGTGCTGAAGCGCTGTTCTATCTCAGGCCAATTAACCAACAGCAGCACGGTTAAAGTTAATAATAAGAATCTTGCCGGTAATAACCTAAATACGGCATTATATCCGCGCTCTAAGAGCAGTCTGTCTAGAATAGACGACGGGTCATTATCCCCTGGTGCTCGGCAACTGGCGGGTTTATTTCTAGCGTCCATTCTTAAGCGCACCTGCGCACGAACGAGGGGGTGGCGCGCTAGCCTCGGCCAACGTAAGAGCAGTCGAGCGGAGGAGCTTCAGTCGTGCTTTTCTCAAACCGGAGTTAACGTGATACGGAAGACTTTCGTCGCATCTCCGCCGGAATCTTCGAGACGCTCCAAGGGGAAGCGTTTAGTCAGCGGCGTCATCAAAACGAAGTCCGTTCGACATAAGCTCTCTCCGTCTGCTTTTCGCATTATCGATTCTTCCGTCTCGGCTGACGGCGCTGTCGCTGTCGCCGTCGCTCCAGCAGCAATGGCTCCCGCGTTTCGAGCAACGGAAGGTTCGGCGAACGTCCCGACGGAACCTCGCCGCGCAGGAGTTAAGGCTAATGCGTTCGAAAAGCCGGCGACTGCGGAAGCCGTGAGCAGCGCGAACCGTTCTGACAGGCTCCAAGCTGCTTCTGCGAGCGGTCCTGGTTCTAGGTGTAGTAGACTCCTAGCGCCTGCTGCCGGTGCCGGTGCTGCCGTTTCCTCGGGCATGGCCGTCGAAGCCTCAGAAGTACGAACATCCGGGGTACGCTCGAGATTCTGCGTGATTTTGTTCGCAGTTCTGTGCTCTTGCCTCTACTGAAGTCGTTATTCGGTGGTTGCTGTGTTTCTCTCGGCATGTTGGTTCAGTGCGCGTCGTTCTTAGTTCTTTCTTCGAACTCGGGTGCTCTTTTATGTTCGGCATTTCTTGATATGCAGACTGCGGCTCTTAACGGCACGTGTCCCTCGCGGATGAACTCCGAGCTGGCTGCGAGTGACGTGGCTGCGAGAGTGGTGGAACATGCTGACGTGGCAGCTGAGCTGGATGGGAACGGACACAACCACGAGCACCCGCGATGTTCGCCAGTGCTTCGTCGCAAACCGATGGAAGTGCCTTCGAAGATGGTTCGCCAGCTCTTCGCGACGGGCAAGAATAAATACACGGGATTGGACGAAGTGAAAGAGGACGGCGTGAGGGACACGTGGACCGAGTCCTTGGAGCCTGAATCCCAGTTTTCTGATATGAATGAGCTTATGTCGAGCGGCCTTGATGGAATTACGTTCGATTCGTCGATCGCAGAGTGTGCTGGACAAGGGGATGACTCATCTGACGTGAAAGGGGGAGAGAAGGGCGAAGAGGACAAGGGAGGGGAAGAGGAGGGATTGGAAGAGTTTGAAGAGGAAATAGAATTGGAGATTGAGGAAGAGGAGGTGGAGGAAGAGGAGGAGGTAGGAGAGAAAGCCGAAGGCAAGGAGCAAGAAGAAAGCGACAGTGATGAGGACGAGGATGAGAGTGAGGATGAGGATGAGGATGAAGGGGAGGAGGAGGGAGATGGGGAGGAGAGTGGAAATGAGGGTGAGGAGGATGAGGATTTGGAGGAGGAAGAAGAGCAAATGGAGGATGGGTATTCGATTGTTCTGAAGGTTGGTCAGGTCTTGTTGCCGTGCAAGGTGAGGTACGACAACGAGGAGATTGTTCAGATCGTTGAAGCAGTTGACGATTCGGAGATAGTGGAGGTGGTTGATGACGTGGCGGATTACGATGACGTGGCAAACAATGACGTGGATAAGCATGAGGACCGCCAAGGGCACGTGCGAACCTGCACTTCTCTTCCTGTGGGCAATGACGATCCTCCACGTGTCCTCTCCCTGTCCATGGATAATCCTTCCCCTCCCGCCCCTTCCTCGCCCACCTCTCCTCTCCACTATCCGCCCATCTCCCACTCTCCGCCTCCCACCGAGTCTCTAGAGCAATTGCTCACACCCCCCACCATCCCCACTGCTCCGTTCCCATCTCCTCCTAAGAGCATCCTCAAGCCCTCGTTTGTGGAACGCTGCAGTAAAGCAGCCTTCACGTGCAAGGTCACGAGTGGCAATGCCATGGAAAACGCGGGCCGGAAGCGGCAGCGGGATGGGAGCGAGAGTGGCAGTACGTGTGGTGGGAGGGAGGAGGGGCAGGGAGGAGAGGAGGGAGCAGGAGCGTGCGCGGAGGCGTGCGCGGAGGCGAGGGGGGTGCGGCCAACAGCTCGGGAACGAGTGGCGAGGCAGATGGAGGTGGCAGAGGCTGCAGTGAGAATGCTTGTGGAGAGATGCAAGGTAAGGAGGGATGATAGCTGCGAGGGGATGGGAGGCTGGGGAGGTGGGAGTAGAGGGTAGAGGGATCCAGGGAATCACATTGGGGTGAGGGATGCGAGGACATGCAACAATCTCTTTGTGTTTTTTAAGTATTGCCATGTGCCATGCATGAATGTACCCATCTGCTGGAACCCTCTTTGTGTGGTGTTTATGCAGGGTGCGAATTTAGTGGATGTTTCACATGGCCACGGAGTGTCTCCTGTGCCGTCCTCATTGGCGGATGATGCCCTGCACCAAATGGAGCAGCTGCGTCATGCAGTCTTGGACATAACCAAGGTATGCTGATTCATTCATCCCGTTCTCTCTACGCCGATGGTAATGACATTCACACCGTTGCTTCCATCACCTGTAGTTTGTATTCACTAGTTCTATGTTGTCGAGACATCTGATTTAATGTGGTTGCCTCCCTTGCTGAAGCCGTTTTTCAATTCCTCTCTGCACTCCCGTTTCCCGTTGGTTACCCCTCTCAGCCGCGCAAGCGCCTTCGATTTGCCGATGAGCTTGGGGAGGAGCTAAACCATATTCGTTTCATTCAACCCAGAAGGTGATTAAGGAGGCTACTGGACTGGGCATCTGTGTGCACAGTGCCCCACTTCTCCGTCTTGCATGATGGCTTCTCCCAGTTTTTATGTCTAGAGGATGCTTTGTGGCCTTTTGCATTGCAGCCAATAAGAGTGCTGCCAGCATGTGTGTTAACGATGATTGTGGGACAAGTCAAGTTTCTGCCTGCAAGTCTATATTGGGAAAGCGCGTGGAGCAGATCTAGAATGATTGAAATCGGTGGGTGTATTAGTATATGAGTAGAGATGGTGTTCAACACCAAGGTCCTGATAAAAAGGCTCGGCGTTTATTGAAGTTATCGAGGTCAATTGCCACCGATCTTACCGAAGCATCACGGAGCTGGACCCAAGCTGCACGCAACCGTCTCTCCATCGCCACTGAGAATGCCGGATTTGACGTCCTCATCGCACCTAAAACCTGCCTCGAGGAGGTGTGACAAAATCGGTGCCCGACACAGGCCAAACTAGCACAGCCAAACTGCTATTCCTCAGCCCATCTCCAGTTCATTTCAAATTTCAATCCACCTCGCATCGCCAATTTCGTCCTATCACCTAGTTTCCAAATCCACCTTAGGAGTTACCGCACGGGTGGCTGGTTCCTTCTATAGATACCGTTATAGCGGACATATATCCATGGTGCACTGATTTTCTTTCGCAAGGTGAATCACGCATAGCAAGCAGACGTCACGTGTTACCATGGATTCCAGCCATTCGCAGCGTGCTGCGCAGGCGTCCGTGACAGACCCTTTCTTCGATCTCCTCCAGACATCCGCTGGAGTCTCTAAGCCCGCGCATGCCGCTGCCGCGTCGTCCGCGCTCACCAGCGGATCTCCGCCGTCCAACGACCCCGCGCTGCCGTTCGTCCGCTCCCTCAGTCCTCCCGCCGAGTCGGCTTTCGCAGGCTCCACGTCTCGCGGTGGCATGACAAGCTCGTTCCACGAATCTGACAAGCATGGGAACAATACTGGCGGTGGTGGGAATATTGGCGGTCTTGGTTCTGGCTTGTCTGAACTTGCTGCTGCTGGTGGTGGTGGTGGTGGTGGTGGTGGTGGTGGTTCGTCCTTCAATTTTCTCAGCTCGCAGGTGTGTCTACGTTAATTTCTTATCGCTCCTTTACTCCCCTTACTCTTTTTGGCCTCTTTTTGAACGTCCTAGATTCGTGCCGTTTTGACATCTTGATTGAAATTGGTCTGTCTACTTCTCGAATTACCCGCCCTCAAGGGCCTTAGCTCAGCGGCCGTAGCGCAAAGAGAGTAATCCCTTATCAAACGCGCGTTTCTTCTCTTCCCTATCAACGAAGTATCACGAACCAGACGGTCTCTAATCACGATCCATCCGTTGCGCCTCCCATCTTCTGTCTCTGTCCCTCCGCGTGGTGCCCCTCTCTCCCTCCCATCTTTTCACGTGACCCACACCCGCTCCCCTATTTCCCCTAGCAACCAGAGGTTAGCTCACCCGCCGATTCCCTTCTTCACCCCTTTCCTCCCCGCTTCCCTTTTTTCCTGCCGACCAGGGCCCAACCCACTCCCAGCCTCAGCACCCCTCCCCCCCTCATCCATCCTTTTCCACTGGAGACGGGGGCATGGGCGGCGGCGGAATGGGGGGTGCTAACCTGGGGGGAGGGGCCAGCATGGGGGGGGGAGCAGGTGGCGCGGGAGGCGCGGGTGGCGCGGGGATGCGCGCAGCAGCAGCGGCGCGCGCGCCAGCGACAGCAGGGGACGTGGCGCAGGTGGCAGCAGACGTGACGTCCGCCATGGAGCGCCTGCTGCACCGCTTCTCTGAGGGCGTCTCTGCCGCGCTGGGGGACGCGAGCAGCAGGGTGAGGCGAGTGGAGGCGGCGGTGGCGGCTCTGCAGGGCGCTGTGGACCGTGCTGCTGGGGATGACGGGGAGAGGCACGCTGAACTGGATGGGAGGCTGCGATCCGTGGAGAATGTGCTTCTAGAGGTGAGTGATTGTAGTGAGAGGGTCCTGAAACAACAGATGCAGCAAGGAGTGATGCGAGCAGCAGGGTGAGGCGCGTGGAGGCGGTAGTGGCGGCGCTGCAGGGCGCGGTGGACCGCGCTGCTGGGGATGAGGGCGAGCGGCACGCTGAGCTGGATGGGAGGCTTCGATCCGTGGAGAACGTGCTTCTAGAGGTGAGTGACTGTAGCGAGAGGGTTCTGAAGCAACAGCTGCAGCAAGGAGGGATGCGAGCAGCAGGGTGAGGCGCGTGGAGGCTGCGGTTGCGGCTCTGCAGGGTGCGGTGGACCGCGCTGCTGGGGATGAGGGCGAGCGGCACGCTGAGCTGGACAGGAGGCTGCGATCGGTAGAGAATGTGCTGCTAGAGGTGAGTGATTGTAGCGAGAAACTTTGATGGTGGGAGGGCGAGTGGAACGCTGACCTGGGCTTGTGGCTGCGGTCCGTGAGTGATTGCAACGAGAAACACCCTGCCTCCCCCCCCCCTTCTCGCCCCTGCATGCACCACCCTGCCCCCATCCCGCTTCCCCCCCACCAGGTGCAGCGTAATCTGCAGGTGATGAGGGACAAGCAGGAGCTCGCAGAGGCGCAGGCGGAGCTCTCCAAGCTCAAGTTCCTCGCCCTCCCCGCCCCCCCCTCCGCCTCCTCTTCCGCCTCCGCTGCCGCTGCCCCACCTCCGCCACCACCAGCTGCTGCTGCTGCTCCACCAGCAGTGGTCGAACCACCAGCAGCAGCGGCAGCTCCTGTCCCCTCCGCGCCGCCTGAAGCCTCTGCACCCCCTCCTCCTTCCCCCAGCCCCTCCCCCACGCCTCCTGCTGCTGCGCCTGCGCCTCCTCCTGCTCAGTACCAGGCGCCAGCGCCGCCACAGCAGCAGCAGCAGCAGCAGCAGCAGCAGCAGCAGCAGCAGCAGCAGCAGCAAACCATGGCCCCCCCTGCTCCTATGTACCCCCAGCAGCAGCAGCAGCAACAGCAGCAACAGCAGCAACAGCAGCAGCAGCAGCCGCAGCAACAGCAGTCCTATGCTCCTCCTCCCCCACCTGCTGCTGCTCCTCCGTATTTGCAGCAGCAGCATGGTCAGTATAATATGCAGCCTCAGCAGCAACAGCCGCAGCCGCAGCAGCAGCAGCTGCAGCAGCAGCAACAGCCGCCGCCGCCGCCGCAGCAACAGCAGCCACCGCAGCAGCCGCAGCAGCAGCAGCAGCAGGGGGGGCAGCAGATGTACCAGGCAGCACCACCGCCCATGGCACAGCAACCCCCTCCGCCTTATCCTCCCCAACAGCAGCCCGCTCCTCCCCCTGCTGCCTCCGCCCCTGCTCCCCCCGCATACGCCTCCATGCCCCCCCCTCAAGGCATGTACGACCCTGCTGCTGCTGCTGCTGCTGCTGCTGCTGCTGCTGCTGCTGCTGCCGGTGCTGCTGCTGCCGGTGCCGCAGCAGGCGGAATGTACTACCAGCAAAATGGGCCTCCCCCTCCCATGCCCCAGGCACAGATGTCCCAACAGATGCCCCCGCCTCAGATGCCCCCTCAGGGGCCCCCTCAGATGCACTCTCAGATGCCACCTCCACCAGGTGTACCCATGCAGGCACCGCAACCCCCTCAGCAGCAGTACATGCATGGGCAAGGGCCATCCCCGTCCTACCCTCCTCCCCCGCCTGGTTATGGCGCCCCCGCTCCCCCTCCCCCTGCACACCCCTCCCCCCAGCCCCCGGGTATGTATCGGGTTGCCCAACCTCCCCCCCCTTCCATCCCCCCTACTGCCGCCCCCCCTAGTGGGTATAGACGCTTACCCATGGCACAACCTGTGAGCGGCGGTGGTGGGGGAGGGAGAGTGGGGGGCGGAGGGGCCGGGGGAGGGGGCGGAGGAGGGGGAGGGGGAGGGGGAGGTGGTGGGGGTGATACGGCGAGAGTGCCTCTAGAGAAGGTGGTTGATGACGTGGCAGCTATGGGATTCCCAAGGGATAAGGTTCGCATGGTGGTGCAGCGGCTGATGGAGAGAGGCAAGTCGGTTGATCTGAATGCTGTGATCGATGAGGTGATGAACGGAGGTGGGGGAGGAGGAGGAGGGGGAGGGGGGTGGTACGGGCGGTGAGAGAGGGAGGGAAGGTGATGGTGGCGCATGGTGGTGCAGCGGCTTATGGAGAGAGGCAAGTCGGTTGATCTGAATGCTGTGATCGATGAGGTGATGAATGGAGGGAGAGGAGGAGGAGGGGGGTGGTACGGACGTTGAGAGGAGTAAAAACCTTAGTGGTGGGTCGTGGAGGGAGGGAGGCAGGTCGGTTGATCTGAATGCAGTGATCGATGAGGTGATGAGGTCATGAACGGAGGGGGATGGTATGGTCGGTGAGAGGGGGGAGGGAGTGAGAGCGGGAGGAGGAACCATGGTGATGTGGGTCATTGAAGGGAGGGCAGGTTGGTGTTTTTGATTGAATGATGTGATAGATGAGGTGATGAGAGGATGGGGAGTGGTAGGGGCAGGGGGGGGTGGTACAGATGGTGCAGAGGTGAGTGGGATGGTGGAAGGTGGTGGGGATGAAGCTCTTGCTGATCGATACAGATGGGAGGGAGAGTGCTTGTGTGTGAATATTGGGGTGGGTGAAGTGGCTGTGATGGTAAGATTGGCCTGTGTATCTCTTGTTGTGCAGGACACAGTATATTTGCTGTAGATGTAGAGATGAGTGAGACCATGATTGCCGTCTTCTGCTGTCCATGTAACCATGACTTCGTTGTTAATTTGTTACTTGGCAGTTACCTATCGCCCAGTAAAAGCAAATGTGCCGCTGAGTTCGTTGATGCTTTATCAAGATTGTTTAATAAATAAACATTAATAAACAATGAGCTTACATATTTACTCATTATAATAATTCTACATGTCATTTCACTACATACCACTGCATGCCTCAAGTACAGTATCAAGCTTTCACGCACAACTGCTTATCAGCAGTGGGCTTATATCCCCTAAAGCAATCACAGTAAGGGCTCCGACCACCACCAAACCAGCAGTACCCCTTTCCACCGCACGTGTTCGTATCCGCGTTACAAAAACGCTTACACACATGTGTAGGCACTTGCACCTGCACAAGCCCGGCCTTTTCACAGGGGCTCCCAGCAGGATAAGTGAGGCAGTTTTTAGCGAGGGATGACTCAAAGAACACACCCGTGTAGGTGTGGTTGACGGGGCAGAAGGACTTTCCCCCTGCGGTCACCACAGCTGGGCCGTTGAAGAAATTGTTACGCAGGTTGTACTGGCCGTAATCGATTAAGCGCGTGCTCGGGAAGTTGGTGGGGAGAGGGCCTGTCAACATGTTGTCGTGCAGGTTGCTGCGGGGAGAAAGGGAGGGGAGAGGAGGAACACAAGAGGATGTTATAAGGTCTCAACTCTCAACTAGAGCAGGTTGTACTGGCCGTAATCAATGAAGCGAGTGCTGGGGAAGTTGGTGGGGAGAGGGCCTGTCAACATGTTGTCGTGCAGATTGCTGCGGGGGGGAGAAACGGAGAGGAGAGGAGGAACACAAGAGGATGTTATAAGGTCTCAACTGGAGCAGGCTGTACTGGCCGGACTCGATGAATTGCGTGTTGGGAAAGTTGGTGGGGGGGGGGGGGCTGTCAACATGTTGTCGTGCAGGTTGCTGGGGGGGGGAGGAAGTGAGGGGAGGGAAAGGGAAAGTGGAGCGGGTGGGTGGGGATGCAAGGGGATGTGAGAGGTGGTTCTCACAACAAGCAGAATCTGCACCAAGTGGCCGTGGTAGGAAATGCTGGTGGGATTGCACTCACAGGTAGCTGAGCTTGGGCAGCTGGGAAATGCCCTTTGGGAACGTGCCGTAGAGGAAGTTGCGCTCGAGGTAGCTGGGGGGCGAGGGGACAGAGGGAACAGGGGGGGGTAATGAGGACAGGTAGCTGAGCTTGGGCAGCTGGGAAATGCCTTTTAAAAACGTGCCGTAGAGGAAATTGCGCTCGAGGTACCTGTGGTGAGAGGGAGGAGGGGGAACAGTGGGAGGGGTGGGGGTGAGTAGGATGTGCAGACAGGAAGGGTGCGAATGAGGTGGGGGTTTGCTATGTGTGATGATGTGCCTTGTTTCATTGCATAAGACAACAGCGGAACCAGTAGAGTCGTTCTCATTTGCAGGAGACTTTTGATTCATAAGAAAACTCTGAGTGAGAAAAAGCACTAGAGCTTACAGGATGGTGATGTCTGTGAGCCTGCTAAGGTTCTCCGGCACTATGAGGTGAGGGGCAGAGATAGCAGCAATGGCAGCAGCGGCACTCTGAGGTGAGGGAATTCTCAAAAGCCGTTCTTAGAAAAGTCGTCTCTTACAGGATGGTGATGTCTGTGAGCCTGCTAAGGTTCTCCGGCACTATGCCTCGAAAGTAGTTGTTGTCTAGCAAGCTGAGGGGGAGGGAAGGGGCAGGAGAGAGGAGCATGGGAGGAAAGATCAGGTTGAGTCGGAAGACATTGGGATCTGAAGAAAAAAGGAACACCTTTATAGAACAGGTCTATTTTTTAGACGACTCAGAACAGGCATATATTAAAGTGGAATGTTCTGAGGGCGAGGGAAGTGTAAGCAAGGGCGGGGGGAGGGTAGTTGAGGGCGGGAGGAGGGAGGCATTACACTCGCTGCAGGCGCGTGAGACGGGAGATGGATGGTGGGATGGGGAAAGAGGGGGGGGAGAAGAACTGGGAAAGCGGCGGGGGGAGGGAACGGGAAGGGCTTACACTCGCTGCAGGCGTGTGAGACGGGTGATAGATGGTGGGATGGGACCGGAGAAGTTGCAATACTCCATCACCCTGATGGGCATGCGCGGGGAGAGGGGAAGGGATGGGAAAGGGTGGGCAAGGGTGGACAGGGGTGGGCAGGGGTGGGCAGGGGTGGGATGGGACTGATGGGGCCGGAGAGGTTGCAATACTCCATCACCCTGATGTCCATGCGCAGGGAGGGGTGGACAGGGGTGGGAAGGGGTGGGCAGGGGTGAGCAGGGAGAGGAGAAGACGGGGGTGAGGGGCAGAGGCAGGAGGTTTTGGGAGGGATGGAGGTGGGTGGGGAAAAGGGCGTTTGGGGGTCGTGGGTGGGAAGGGGCGGAGGAGAGTGGTGGGGTGGGGGGATAAATGCACGGAGAAGAGTATGGCTGAGGAGTGTGATTCACGTATGAAGCACTCAGTGCACTCCCAGCACCCACAGAGAACTCACAGCACCCACAGAGAACTCACAGCCCTCACAGGTCTGTGAGGCTAACCATGTTGCCCAGATTGCGCGGCAGCCAGCCGGTCAGCTTGGGATTGCTGCTCATGAATCTGATGGGGTGATGGAGGCAGCACGGGACGGGAAGAGGGGCGCAGGGAGGAAGAGAGGCTACGGATTGGTGCTCATGAATCTGAAACGGCAAGTAATAACAGGAGTGTGAGGAGGGGAGGGTGGAAGGGATTGGCTCAGCTCTTGAAGCTGAGGCTATGAAATTTGGAGGAGTGAGAGGGTGCTTTTTGAGAGGATGAGAGGATGAGAGGATGAGAGGATGAGAGGATGCACGAGAGCACATACAGGATTCGCAGATTTCTGAGCCGGGTGATGGTGGCGGGGAGTGGACCGGCAATGCTGTTCTGATTGATGAACCTGCAATGGAGGGATAGAGGAGAGGAGTGAGAATGGGTTGAGAGGGGTGAGAGTGGGGGGTGAGAGGGAGGAGCGGGGAGAGGACCGGCAATGCTGTTCTGGTTGATGAACCTGTGATGAATGGAAGTGGGGGGCGAGAGGGGGAGAAGGAAGAGGTGAGAGGCTTGAGAGGGGGGGGTAGAAGGGGGCTGAGAGGAGTGAGAGGAGTGCGTTGCTTGCAAGCAGTGGACAGGAAGTGGTGCGAAGGAGTTCAGAGGAGTGAAGAGCGGTGCCTCACAGGTTCTGCAGGTTGGTCATGGTGCCAATGGAGGCGGGCAGCCTTCCCGTGAATTTGTTCGTGTCCACGTACCTGGTGGGGAGAGGGGGGTAAGAAAGGATTCATGGGCGGGGGGGGGGGGAATGGAGGGGCGTGCATGGGGCGCGGACATATGAGGGTGACGATTGAGTAGACAATATACATGTATATGTATATGTATATGTATATGTGTATGTGTATGTGTATGTGTATGTGTATGTGTATGTGTATGTATACGTATACATATACGTGTACGTATACGTATACGTATATGCATATGTATATATATATATGTACATGTATAACATGTATATGTATATGTATATGTATATGTATATGTATATGTATATGTATATGTATATGTATATGTATATGTATATGTATATGTATATGTATGTGTGTATATATATGTATATGTATATATTCCAGCAACCTTGTTGAGCAGCTTATTTTAACATTTGACTTAGTCGCTCACTCACATGTAGTACAGCAGTTTGAGTCGGCTGATGCAGGGGGGAATGGTTCCCTCAAAGTGGTTCCCGCTGATGCGCCTGGGACGTGCAAAGGGGAGGGGTTGGCGGAGTGAGGGGAGAGCAAGAGGAAGGGGGGGAGGGGGAGGGGAGGGCAATAAGCCACTGCAGCGGCTGATGCAGGGGGGAATGGTGCCCTCAAAGTGGTTCCCGCTGATGCGCCTGGGACATGCAAAGGGGAGGGGGTTGGGGGGGTGGGGGGAAGAGATGCAGGGGACTAGGGGCAGGGGAAGAGGAAGGAGTTGGGGGTGCGTGGGGATGAGGAGAGGGGCAGGAAAAGGAAGAGTGGGCAGGTGGGGGGAGGAGGTGAGAAGTGGTTGGTCACATGAATGAAGCAGAGGATGGCCTTCAGCCATGTGGACTCTCTGAACAGCACGTTCATACAAAATCCCCCAGCACTCACAGCTCTCGCCACACTCACAGCTCTCGCCACACTCACAGCTCTCGCCCCAGAAATCGGACCGCGAGGCAAAACCGAGCCGCCCCAAACAATGCGGTTACCACCGCTCCAGCCAATAACACGGCTCCAACGCCTGCCACCCCAGCCCCAATCATCAGCGCTGACGACCTAGCAGGCCGTCTGGACCTTTTCGCAGACGTCGCCAACTGGGACCTCTGCCCGCTGCGCGACAGCAGACAGCCACCCCTTGCCCGCCACCCACCCCGCCCACTTCGCGAATCCTTCGCGATATGCCTGCTGACACCACTGCTGCACCTGGCGAAAAACCCAGACTCCATCGCAGGCTGGAAGTTGCTGATGTTTCTCCCGCGCATCCTGCTGCGCACATCGTCAGCACGCACACCTGACTGGAAAGCCATGGGTGCAAGGCTGACACGATTTCGCCAAGGACAGTGGCGTAACCTGTACGACGAGGCAGCTGACGCGGTTACCAGCAACCCTCAACCACGACACGTACCTGACGACACTGGCAAGCTCTCGCGGGCCGAAGGATTGGCGAAACGGGGGAACCTTGCGAAATCACTGCAGACTCTGACTGCCACGCCAGTCTGCACGCCGAGCGCTGAAGTCCTCAGCGCGCTCACAGCCAGACACCCAGACGCCGCCACGGCCATACCTTCCTGGGTGCTCGACTTCGCCCCAGAGAACGTCCCTGCCATCACTGCCCGGGATTTCAGGCGGCTGCTGGCAAAATGCCCCAATGGAGTAGGGGCTGGGCCATCAGGCACCACCTTTGAGCACCTCAGAGATGCGGCCCTTGGGAACGGAGACGTTTTCCTGCAGTTGCATGCACTTACCAACACGGCACTCTCCGGAAAGCTGACGGCGGACGTGGCGGAACTCCTAACAGCGTCACGACTGCTCGCCTTCTCGAAACCAAACGGTGGTACGCGGCCGATAGCAGTAGGCGAATGCCTACTACGCCTCGTTGCCAAGGCGGCCCTTTTCCTAGCCGCACCAGCGGCGCGCGAGCACTTCACCCCGCTGCAGTTCGGAGTAGCAATCGCGGGAGGAATAGAGGCGGCAATCCACACTGCACGCACCTACCTGGAGGAATTCCCAGGAGCGACGGCGCTGCAGATAGACCTGGCCAATGCCTTCAATGCTGTCGAGCGCGCGGCAGTGTTCGAGGGCTTGAAAGGCACCGACCTCGAGGTCTTAGTGCCCCTCGTGCGCTTCTCTTACGGCAACCCATCGGCGCTCTACCTCGACCATGACTTCGGAGCAGAACCTCTTAGGAGCGCGCGGGGCGTACGTCAGGGGGACCCGCTGGGACCCATGCTGTTTGCAGCCAGCATTCACCCCTGCCTCGTCCATTCGGCGGCGGCACACCCAGAGGTGGTGTTTCTGGCGTATGCAGATGACATCACCCTGCTTGGGGAGGCGGCCAACTGCACGGCAGCATTTGCACACCTCACGGAAGCCCTACGACTCCATGGGCTGGCCCACAACCCGGCGAAGTGCGAGGCGTGGTCCGCAGCTGCACTCGACCCCTCCACCTTACCTGCTGGCATCACGATATCACATGATGGAGTCCGCGTCCTAGGCAGCCCCATTGGGCCCCCCACAGGTTGCGCGGCCAGAGTTCGCGAGCGTCTCGCAGCAGCTGCCGAACCTCTCGCACTCCTCGCCCAGATGGACCCCCAACTCTGCCTGCTTCTACTCACCCGCTGCGTGAGCCGCCGCGCCTCGTTCCTGGTCAGAGCCACGCCCCCCGAGGCCCTTCCGCTGGAGGAGTGGTCGGCCTGGGGGGAACAACTGCTCCACACCTACCTGGCCGCGGCACACACAAGTATCCCTAGGGACCGGGCAGAGAGGAACAGGATCTGGCACCAAGCCGCACTGCCTGCGTCCCTAGGAGGCCTCGGCATTGCTAACCCTGCGGTGGAAGGGAGATTCGCCTACCTGGCATCAGTTGTATCGGCCTCCCACCTACTACGCTCCTTCGGCGACGCGGCAAACCCGGCCCTAGCAGGACTGCTGCCGCTGATGGACGCTGACGGTGATTCCACTTCCCTCCTCCCACGACGCCTCGCAACCCTGGAAGTCGAGCTGCCACCAGACGGAATAGAGGCCCTGCAAACTGGGAGACAAAAGCCTAACGGGCCAAAACTGCAGCAAGCTCTCTCCCTCGCGGTGCACACCGCCCGCTACATCCGACTGCTGGACAGCTCACGGAACATGGACCTGAACCCACTGTGTGGCCACACACAGAGATTACAGTCCCTCTTAGGTCCGGGGGCGGGGGATTGGCTGCTGGCCATCCCCCTGATCTCTTCCCTCCGCCTCGGACCCTCCCAGTTCTCCACCGCGGCATCCTTCCGCCTGGGACTTCCCTTACCTGTGCCGAGACGCTGCAATTGCAGATACCGCACAACCTTCCCGGACGATCGTCTGCCGAATCACTTGATGCGGTGTGAGAAAGGGGGGGGGGAGAATTGGCACACACAATGCCCTGCGCGACGAGTGCGCAAAGATAGCGGCTGAAGCGGGATTCACGGTGCACAAGGAGACAACGGCATACTCACCGGTCGAAAACCTCAAAACGGATATCTCTATCCGCCATCCCGACACCGGTGCAGTGTGGATTTGTGACATCACCGTCACAGACCCCGTCTCCCACCAGGACGAGTACGCGCGTAAGGCCCCCGGGTGGGCGGCCAGGATGCAAGCGGACAAGAAGGAGACAAAATACGCCGGGCGGAGCCCGTGGGTGGGCTTCTACGCCATGGCCGTGGAGACCTATGGCTACCCCTCACCTGGAGTCCTGGATTTCCTTCGCAGCTGCGCGGAGCTAGCGGCAAAGCGGCGGTTTAACACCACCCCAAAGTCGAGGGAGGTGGCGAAACTACTTACCGAGTACCGCCAGCGATGGAGCGTGACCCTGCAGAGAGCCCAAGCCAACGCCCTCAGGGATAAGACCCATGAGGCTCTTACCGCGGATGCGCTAGGCCTGCAGGGACCATTCACTCCACTGAGCGAGGGCCAGCTGTACCAACTGATAGAGGACCCCTCCGGCCACTAGGGCCGGAAGGGAAAAGGGGCGGCCGTAGTGGTGTTAGGATAGGAGATTGCACCTGTAGCTTTGTTGTGTGTGGCTTGCTACCTTACCCTGTGTGTACCTTGATGATATTAATACGACGGACCGTTCGAGAGAGGGGCTACAGAGGAAAAAGGGAGAGGGGATAGAGGGCGAGGAGGATAAAGAAAGGAATGAGGGCTTACGGCTGGTAGAGGAAGGGGAAGGAAGGGGAATAAGAGGAGAGAGGAGGGGAGATGGAGGGAGGGAGGGGGCGCACAGCTGGTAGAGGTTGCGCAGGTTGCCGAGGCCGGGTGGAATGGTGTGGTTGAAGTAGTTGCTCCATACTTGCCTGCACTCACACCCAGGAGCACACATACAAGGCGGAGGGGGGAGAGGGGGAAGGTCATACAGCTGGTAAAGGCTGCGCAGGTTGCCAAGGCCGGGCGGAATGGTGTGGTGTGGTTGAAGTAATTGCTCCACACTTGCCTGCACTCACTCACCCGGGGAGCATACGTACATGTCATACATGCAGGCCGTGGGTTAAGTGCGGTGGGGCGCGGTGGCAACTACTGCTGCATTTCCATTTTACTGCTGCGCTGCTATGGATATTTTGTTACTGCAGCTCTACGAAAATGATCGCTGTTACTGCACTGTGCGCTCACAGGTTCTGCAGCCTATTTTTGAGTCGACTCAAAACACGACTCTGAAATAGACTCATCACTTCTAGAATGATCGCTGTTACTGCACTCTGCGCTCACAGGTTCTGCAGGCGACTTTTGAGGCGCCTCAAAAGCTGCACTGTGCGCTCACAGGTTCTGCAGCCTATTTTTGAGTCGACTCTGAAATAGACTCATCACTTCTAGAATGATTGTTGCACTGTGCGCTCACAGGTTCTGCAGGCGACTTTTGAGTCGAGTCAAAAAAAGAAAAGACCCATCACTTCCAAAATGTTTGTTGCTACTGCACTGTGCGCTCACAGGTTCTGCAGGCGAACGAGCTTAGAGAGGTTGTTGGGAAACTCGTGGGTGAACCAGTTCTTGGTAACGAGCCTGCCAGTAACGGGAATACAGGCCACGAGGGTTAAGAGGGAAAAGAAAAGCAATGTTTGAACCACTAATGATCCCTGCACGTGCTGCACAAGGGGAAGGGGAAGGTGAGCAGGGAGTTGCTAGAAAATCTGCTAGTAAAAGAGGGATGCTGCTAGGAAGGAAAACAGGCAGAACTAGTTGGAGAGGTGAGCAGAAGGTGACAGAGGTGACTTTTGAGTCGACTCATAAGTCACCTGAGTTGCTAGAGATGCTGTTAGTAAAAAAGAAGGATGCGGCTAGGAAAACAGGCGGAGAGAGTTGGAGGCGTGAGCAGAAGGCGATAGAAATCAAAGAGAGTAAGAGCTTTTGCAAAGGGCACAGTGGCACTGACAGCTCTTCCAGCGTGGTGAGGTCGCCGATGATACCCAGCAGACTGCCCCTCAGGCCCATCAGCAGGGAGTAGGAACTCAATACACAAGGCGATAGAGAATGAGAATGAGAGCGAGAGCAGGGCGGAAGGTGACAAAGGGCACAGTGGGACTGACAGCTCTTCCAGCGTGGTGAGGTCGCCGATGATGCCCGGCAGACTGCCTTGCAGACCCATCCCGCTCATCTCCATGCGCCTGTTGGTGGCACGGAGCGTGGGGCGAGGGGCGAAGGGCGGGGGGCGTGGGGCGTGGGACGTGGAGCGTGGGACGTGGGGCGTGGAGCGTGGGGCGTGGAGCGTGGGGCGCGGGGTAAATCACATGTGACCGCAGACAGACGGAGGCAAGCACAAACACACAGGGGCAGTGTAAAAGGCGCAACTGAGGGGGCAAGCCGAAGGGGTAGTGCCAAGGTGCAGCTTGCAAAGTTGCAAGTGGTGATCTGAAGTGATGACAAATGCCAAAGTGGTAATGGACGGACGGGATGCGTTCATCTACAGACACGGAATCAACGGACCTGATGGTGCCATCTGTCCAGCATCTGATCCGCGTCCACTGATTGCACGGCTTGGATCCGTCCCACGAGCTCAGGTCCGCATACTTGGACCACGTGGTCTTGAGTGACATCATCACGGGCACTGCGGGGGGGTTAAGGGGGCGGGGAGAGGGGCGGAAGAGGGGGAGGGGGTAGGGGTGGAGTATTGAGGGGTCCGCGTACGGCGACCACGTGGCCTTGAGTGACATCGTCACGGGCACTGGGGGCAAAGAGGGGAGGGGTAGGGATAGGTGTGGGGAGATGAGGGGTTTGTGTACAGCGACCACGTGGCCTTGAGCGCCATCATCACGGGCACTGGGGGGCGTTGGGGGGAGGCGGGGTGGGCGGAGGAAGGGGGGAAGGGGGATGTCTTACGAGAGGGACTCAGTAGGGTGGGGAGCGAGGGGAGGAGCGTAGCAATGCGGCGCCATAGCAGAAGGGTGGTCTTTGAGCGAGGCGTGGTTGGGCGTCGCAGCGCGACGTTATTAATGACTCACGTTGCGACTTGGCCACGTAGATGGGAGCCGCCATTGGGTACGCGAAGCCCGCTGACGTGGCGATGAGCGCCGCGGGATCACGGCCCGCGCCCCGCGTCGTGGCAATGCCGGCGACTCGCGCCACGTCGTCGTCTTCCTCGTATGTGGATTCTAGCTCCAAGGCCGCGTCGCGGTCGTAGAAGGACTCGAGCGCGCTGCCACTTCGGCCATCGCCGCTACTTCGATCCTGCGCGTCGTGCTGCCGCGGAAACTGCGGCGGAAACTGCGCGGACGCGCCGCCGTCGCGCGCATCCCGCGCCAAGTGGAACGCGGCGGCGCGGGGAGCCGCGGAGCTTGCGGTAAGGAGCAGGAGCCACGCGGCCATGGTGGTGAATGCGGCTCGACGAAGAGAGCCGGCCATCGCGGGGAACTGGTCGAGGGAGTATCAGTTTGTGGAGAAGCGACGCTTGATCGAATCACAAAGGTTAATGGTTCTTGTGAGGCCTTTGCTGTTGAAAGGAGTCGATGAAGGGGCCGAGGGAGGGCCAAATCTAACCCTCTCGCGTCGATTCGCGGGTTTAGTTTGAAGGCGTAGAACCAAGTTACCAATTTGGTTCTAATGGAGGACGGAAATTGGAGGGCTGCAAGACGGAAATGACGTAGCTTTGCTGGGCGAAGCCACAACCCTCTTCACGTAGCTCCTATCCTAGCTTGAAAAACTTGCTGCATGATATTGCAGGACCTACCCCCTACCGTCGGAGCAATTAGATTCCTGAAGTCAATTCTCGAGGCGACTCAAAATTAGATTCCGTCTGAAGTCAGCGTGACCGTTTGAGGGAAGGTCATAAGACTGCTAATGGAAAACTGATGTGGGACGACAGTCGATGGGCTGGCTAAAGAATATGGTGCAAAAAATGCGGGAAGCAATGCAGTTTACTGGACGATCTAGAAAGGAAGGTTGGTGTGCTGTGTTGCGGCGGCGGTTCATAACACAGGTTTCTCTCGCCAGCTGTGTTTCTCTCGTTACCCCACCACACCACCCCCAATTCTCTTCAATGCTGGCTGGAGAAACACCCGTCAGCGAATGCCTGATTCCAATCCACTGGCCCAGCACGCTGCACCACACACAGCACAACACAACCTCCCTTCCTGTTTCTGCCCGGCAGCCGACGAGGCGAAACGCGCTTCCAGTTCAGCATTTCGGCGAGGAGGCAGGTGAAGAACGTGCGTGCCAGTCAGCGCGCCGATAAACAGTTCCCCATTCCACGCAAGTTCGGCTCCCCCCCTTGTCCGAGCCGAACGTGGTGGTTGGGGCGTGAGGCGGAAGGGAAGTCTGCTCCCGAGCTGGTTGTCGGTTTGTGGGTTCTCGGCGGCGCACGATGACCCGTCTGCACGGCACGACAGAGTTCCAAACCAGACCAGACCAAACCAAAGCCAAAGCCACAAACCAAGGTCACGACAGTGTGTGACCTCTCTGGAGATGATTGCCAGGGCTTGCGCATTGGCGAGGGTCGCCGAAATCAAACAAAGTGTTCGCGAACATCATCACAATAATAAGTGTTATCGGTACAAGATATCCGATGGACATTGTTAAATACACGTGCTATTGTGAGATTTCTATAGAGAAGAACTTGGACATGGGATTTATATGTTTGTGTACAATCACATTCGACTTACGATTTTCGGAGTTCTCAAGGGTTCGTTTGAACATCGACTTCAGCGTTTCAAATCCTCTTGGGACTTGCCCACACAAACCCCCACAAACAAGCAACTGCGACACTCTCTGCTCTCTCTTGCAACTTTCCACTGAACGCCGACGTCTCTCCGCAAAGTCTCCTGTTTCTTGGTGCTTTTGCTTCTGGCCGCAATTTTTGTCGCACGATATGGGAGGCCTCTCAAATTCTTGACTCTAATTTGTTGACATTTCGAGCCGCGTTTAGGAAGAAAAATAGAGTTCTAACCTCGTAGTTTGACTCTGTCATTTCTTGTCACGCCAAGACGCGCCTTTAACTAAGCACCGCTATGAAAAGCAATGTAGCTTGTCTCTAATCCGCATAACGCGGAAAGTAGCTTCGACCCGCGTAACGTTTCGTTCAGGACGCTAAGAACGATCCAGCGAGATAGCCATTTTCACGAGTGGTAGATTCTTGTCATGTCGTAACCCTAGTTTCGCGAGCATGACCTGTGCGACTGAGCGAAGGGTCTTCGTAGTTCGCTCAGCTCTGCGAGTGATGTTCGTTCACGAGCAGTCGCAGGAGGACGATAAACCGAAACCGTGCTCTCAAGCGACCTTGCGACAATGCGCGTCGCCGCAAAGCCGCGACGGGCCATGCGACGAGCCTGCGACGGTCGCGAGCGACAGTATTGGTCGCACGGTACCGAGCGACCATGAGCAGGCTGTCGCACGCAAAGAGCCTGCCGCGTCGGAGCGTCGTCATTCGGAAAAAGACGCCCCATTGGCGATAGTGACGCAGGTCGCGGACGCGCAGCTCGCGCATATTCCGGAGCCCGTAGCGCCGCAGTCACCGCCCCCCAACTCCCCGTGTCCCCCGCTGGCGGAGGCTCAGCCCGCCGCAGACCGCGCAGTGCGATCGCGGGAAGAGCTCGAGAACGGAGAGCAGAAAGCAGGGTCTATTCCCGGTGACTCGTCCCGTCCGCAATCCAGTTCCCCCGGGCCGTCCCGTCAGCCCGACGCGGACGTCAGTCCGACGCTGGGGGCGGGGCACCCCGCGCCGTCTGCGCAGCAGCTTCCGCAATCGCAGCATCTCCCCCAGTCGCAGCAATCCCCCCAGTCGCACCCGCATCCGCAGCCGAAGCAGCCGCACGAACAGGAGGAGGAGCAGCAGGGGGGGGGTTTGGAGGCAATGTCAGAGCCGATCGGCGTGGATATGGCGGGTTTCTCCCATTGGGAATCCCTCTCTGCGCCAATTCCGCCCCCCCCTTCCGCGGAAAGCGCAAGCCTTGTCACCCCCCCGCCGTTCGCGGGGTCCGCGGGACATGTAGGCAGAATGGGGAGCCTCGCGCTAAGCAACATGTTTGCGCTGCCCTCGTCCGCACCCCCTGGCGCGCTCCCCTTCTCCCCGCCCGCTGATGTGCTCCCCCCGATGGGGAAGAGGCGCGGGCGACCGCGCAAGTCGATTTCCCTCGCGGCTGGTAAGGCGGAAGGCGGTCGTGCCGAAGGGGGTAGCGCGGGGGTTGTGGAGAGGCGGATCACCCGCGGGATAGCCGCGCGGATGAGTCTGCAGAAGCAGTTTGAGGGAGCGGGGGCGGAGGAGGGGGTTGCGGAGCCAGAGGGCGCGGAGGCGCGGGGGAAGGGCGCGGAGGGGGAGGGAGAAGGTGTGGGGGAGGGGGAGAAGGCGAGGGGAAGGAAGAAAGGGGTGGAAGAAAAGGATGGGGTGAGGAGATCCAAGAGGTTGAGTAGAAAGAGGGGATGGGACAGTGAGGAGGAGGAGGAGGAAGAGGAAGAGGAGGAGGGTGAGGAAGAGGAAGGTGAGGAGGGGGGTGAGGGAGGAGAGGAAGAGGAAGGGGAGGAGGAGGGGGAGGAGGGGGAAGCGGAGGAAGGAGATGAGAATGGAGAGCAAGAGGAAGAAGACGGGGAGGAAGAGGAGGGGTGGGATGAGGAGGGAGGGGAAGAGGAAGAGGAAGAGGAAGGGGTGGAGGAAGCAGGAGAGGAGCAGGAGCAAGAGCAGGAAGAGGGGGGGGAGGAGCAGGAGGAGCAGGTGCAGGAGGAGGAGGAAAAGGTGGGCGGCTGGGAGGAGAGAGGAAAGGAGGGAGGAGAGGAGCGAGGCGACCAAGATGAGGGAGAAGCACAGGAGGAGGAGCAGGAGCAGGGGGAGGAAAGTGGGGACTTGGGAGGTATGGACAGGGAGGGTGTGGGCGCTGTTGTTGCTGCAGCAGAGGAGGGTGTAGGTACAACCTGGTCTGTTACAGTTGGAACAGGTACAACTGGGGCTGTTACAGTTGGAACAGGTACAACTGGGGCTGTTACAGTTGGAACAGGTACAACTGGGGAAGGCGGGGCAGTCATGGGGGAGGTTTCTGAGTATGCAGCCGGCGAGCAAGGGGGGGGAAGGAAGTCAGGGGTTCCGGAGGGAAGAGCGGCAGAAGAGGAGGGACCCGTGGCAGTGGTGGGAGAGGGAAGGGTGGAGCTAGGGGCAAAGGATGGAGACGCAGGGTCAGGGGAAGGCGAGGTATTGGGAATGGGAGGAAGTGGGGGGGTGCACGGGGCAGGCGTGGAAGCAGGTCAGGAGGGGGCAGGGGAGGGCGAGGTGCGGGGAACATGTGGGGGCGGGATGCAGGTGCCAGTGAGGAAAGGGGGTAATGAGGCAGGAGGGGCGAGTAAGACAGGAGAGGGGAGTAGGACAGTTGGGGAGTGTATGGCAGGTGGTGATGGGAGTGGGGGTGTGGTGGCAGTGGCGGAGGGGGGTAATGAAGCAGGAGGAGGAGGGAATCACACAGAATGTGTGGACCGTTTGGCAGGTGGGGATGGGGGAGGGGGTTTGGCGGGTGTTCCTGGGGAGGAAGGTGAGCGGAATGAGGTCAGCATGGTGGGGACAGAAGGAGATGGTGCTACAAAGGGGGGTGACAGTAACGAGGGGGCTTGCCTGGCGCTCGTTACTGTGGAGAGGACACTCCGGGGGGTGGACGTCATACAGCAGGCTGTAGTAAATGAAACAGAGCGTGTTATAGATAGTGCAACGGAGCATGCTGTAGCGAGTACAAAAGAGCCTGCAGTGGAGCCAGCAGAAGGGCGGGGAGAGGCAGGGCTGGGAGCAGGGGAGTGTGATGAACTCTTGCTGACAGAAAACGCCTGGGAGGAGGAGGAGGAGGAGGAAGAGGAGGAGGAGGACGAGGAGGAGGAGGCAGATGAAGCTGAGAAGTGGACGGTATGGGGATTAGATCTCCGCCGTTTCGATCTCAAATCAAGGGAGCAGGAGGAGGAGTATTATCACGAGTTCATGGGTCAAATGGGAGCAGAAGGAGGGGTTGATGGGTTTAACCTACTCTTCCCTGGTTCTGCTGCTGGCCGGGCCACCAACCTCTGGAAAAAAAGGTTTCTTAGGGCCAATCCGCACCTGGTTCTGGGCTGGGATTATGCGCGGCAGCAGGATTTGAACCCAGGTCTTCTGGGAGAAGGGATGGCAGGGCCAGGTGTTGAGGCAACACCAGTGAAGGCACTGATTCCCTGGGGCACTGACAGTGCTGGGGTGGTGGGAGGGGAAGGAGGGAACCTGGGCGGAAGCAGAGTGGGGGGTGCAGGGCTGGCTGTCACTCCGGTTGCTGCTTTGGGAGGGGCACAGGTGAGTCATTCTCACATGGGGGTGGTGGGGGGTGCAGCGGCCATGCACACGCCCATGCACCCGGAAGCACTCAGACAGTTGGAACATCTTGGGGGTCTGCGCTCTGCCTCACCAGGCCTGG